ATTTCCCAAGGTGGCCTCCAACCTGCCCACTCTTGTGAACATCCTCTTATGTGTTCTTGGTGGACCTATGTGAGACTTCCTTTGGAAATATACCCTGAAGTTTTTGCTGGGTTTTCTGCATACTTAATTTTACTAAGGCTGGTGCAGTCTCACACCTGTAATCCTAGCACTCCAGGCCAAGGCGGGAGGATCGCTTGAGCTAAGGAGTTCAAGACCAGACTAAACAAGAGTAAGAAATCTTGTCTCTTAAAGAATTTTTTTCTTTTTTTTTTACTAAGTCTGTCTAGGCTGCTCTCCGGAATGGCTGTTTCTGTCTGTATTCCAGCAAGCGTACTTGAGGGTTCAGACTTTCTTTGGTATTATTCAATATCGTAATTATTGCCCATCTATTGAGTGTAAATTGATACATTTCATTTTAATTCACATTTCTCTGATAGCTAATGAGTTTGAGCATCTCTTCATGTACTTGCTGGTTGTTCAGTTTCCTATGCCTTGATTATTTATATCTTTTGCTCATTTTTCTATTTGGTTTCTTAATTGTTTTGTGGGAGTCCCTTGTACATTCTAGGGGTTAGTCCCTTTTGGACACTGAAAACTCTGTTTCCCAAGTACATTGTCTATTTATTTTTTGGGCTTTATTAGTGATGCTCTAATTTAGCAGAGAAGGGTCCTTAGTCTTGCTAACTGGTAATGAAATTCTTCTTTTTTGTTTAAAAAGAAATGTAGAATCTTTTTGCAGTTTTAACGGGATGCCCTCCCCAGTTGAATTCATATAGGCTTTTAGAGCTTGAATCCACTCCCCTTAGCCCTCTAAAAAAAAAGGGAAAAAAATAAGAGTAGTATCTTTAATAAAAAGTAAATAAATAAATAAGGATTTTCTTGCCCTGTGCTTGAAGGTCATATTAGGCCTTCGACAACATTCTAAGGATAAGGTGTTCGAGTTTCTCTAAAAAAAAAAAGTTGTTTACGTGTCTTAAAAACCTTGGCAGGATCTGTTGGCTGTATTGTGGGACTCAACGAAGACAAGGAGCTCAGGGAATTTCCATGTCGTGTCGGCGGGCTGGTTGTTAGGTTACAATAGTGAACGTAGGTCTGAAAGTGTGGACTTGAAGACAAGAGAATTCTGGTATTTCTGGCCGAAAACGTACGGGGGGCTCCCCATGGAAAGAACAAGACTTTTATGAAAATGCAGCGAGGAGTGCAGGCACTGTCTTTAGTCAGATTTTGTAAACCTGGTGGTGCAGCGTTGCATCATGTGGGAGGAGACAGAAGGGAGAAAGACATGAAAGATGATTTGATTGATTGGACCATTTTGCGCTGATGCACAAGGGGACATATATCCATTGCTGGAATTAAGATTGCATGTTCTGTTCCCCTCTAGGAAAGTTGTGTGTAATACCTTGTTGACACTGAAAGTTTTACACCTTGGAGTACCCCCACCCCGCACCCACCCCGGCAAGGCTCCTCCAGTCTAGTCTTTGTAGTGATTCATGTCAACGCATTAAGCTCAATGACGGTCTGCAGTTTCAGGTTGGTACTTTTAAGACAGGAGTTCAATTGGGCATCATGAGGTTGAAGTTTGAGGTCTCTCTCCTCAGTTCCCTCTTTAAATTACCGGTCCATTTAGATTGTTGTTCCAATACGAGTATTGTCTCTTTCTTCTGCGCCAGATTTTGATGTTCGATTTCCAAACTGCAAAGTATGTCCGGATTATCCCCGCAATATGAACAACTTGGAAGGGAGTTGTTGGCTTTGCCGTGGATATTTTTTCAGCAGCGTCACTGGTTTGTAGGCTAATAGAGGGCACAAGTCGTGTGTTAGATTTCAGTCCTAGCGTATGTGGTAATAAGTGACAAATAGGAGGGCGGCTAACGACTTATCAGAGTGTGTGAGCTGTATATCGCAGTCCATGTAGCGTCTGCGTTTTTGTGATTGTCGTGACGTTGACAAGTTGGAAGTGCTGGATAATCAAAGGGGGCCCAGCTTTTTTAAACACGATGATGGTATTGTCACAGGTTCTGATGATGAATGACAGGGGGTGATGTTCCGCCGATTTTGTTCTGAAAAACAGGAGTCTTGTCTAAGAACGCCAGGTGTAATGCCCATAGCTACCTTAGGGGAGCTGGAGGACGAAAAGGCCCGAGTTTCTTGGGCTTTTCGTTACCCTACCACCATTAGGGGCTTGAATCATATCAAACTCGAGATGCGTTGGTAGATGGAGTAGACATCATGTTTTGGGGGTGGGGCAGCTCCAGAATCTAATACAGCATTCGTCAGGGCTGGAATTTGCGTTTGTCAGAAACTTATAGCTTGGAAATGATGGCTGGCCCCCCTGGCCTGAATGATTCTGTGCCGTGTTCTGATTCATACAGGCGCTCAGTTCAAGCCTACCCTTTTCTGTATGTTCCTTTGGTTACTTGAATGATAGCTGAGTTGGTGGCAGTGGATCTCGAACTTCTTTCCGTTTGGGTGATCAGGAAAGGGTTTTCTGCTCACGGGCAAATTCAAGTAAACGGATGGGTTAGCCAGGTGAGCGTAGCTTTGGGACGAGAAATACTGCCCTCTTGGGAAAGGAAGCCAGAGACGTTTCTTGGTTGTGAAATTTCTCTTGCAGGTGTTAGCTAAGAACTAGCGCTTCGCTGAACGCTATATAGCTCTGTGTGGGCCATCATCCCCGCCCCTGTTGCTCATCTTGTGTACTCGAGGATCTCTGTGCACAGTAAGACAACGGCGAAGGTGTTAGTGTGCAACCCAATCCAGCATACAACGAGGTAGCTGGCTTACGTTAGGCTGGTTTGGTTTTAAATTGACCTTTGCGCTCTTCCTCTGCGTTTGTCCCTCAATTTTTGTTCATTCTAATAAGGAAAGTATTTATTAAACATTTAGGTGCCATGGGTCACTGGTCTCGAAGTGGTTGCTAGCGATGAAGATGATGTTTGTTCTATAAAACGAGTCTTTTCCCTCAGGAGCTGCAAAATAGAACTGTAGAACCAGCGCCGTATTTCACTGTGAGCTTTGCTCCACTTGCTCATTGGATTACGGTGAGGAATGGTTGGACAAGATGGATTGATACGATTGTTGGTTTGTTGGATAATTTGTGGTTATTGGGCTGATTAGGCGTTCAAGAACTGTCTGAAGGTGTGTTGGAACAGGGGGAAGCAAGTGGTTTAAAGATTGTTCTATAATAGGAAGATTAATCTCGGGATAGTGGGCTGTTCAGTACGGATTAGGTTGGAACCCAGGGTGACCAGGTTATGGTGGCGCTGATTTTCTACCTTGTGGACATTGATTAGTTTTACAGGCTAACTCATTTCTGTGGATCTGATTCCCGATAGGGTGCAAACTGAAGCTCAAAGAATTGTGGGCATGGCGTAGGGCGAGGTGTAGGAGAGGGCTTGAATTTGAAAGGGGGTTGGCTTCTTGTAGGGGGGTTAGAAGGGTCTGTTTAGGATTCCGTGGGGGTGAGTGGCGAGTTTTGGAGGCCAAGATCTGTAAGAATGTTAGGAGTGCGTGGAGTAGCTTGCTGGTTAACAAGAAGGAATAAGGAGTTCGACTAATACTGAGATTTTAAGGTTAGGCTTTTTGGGCCAAGGTGTTGCCATCACGGGAATTAGATAGTACATGGAGATGCAGGAATGTAGCGAGTTTGTTTTGAACATACGATTAAGGAGACAGAGGTGGTATTCAGATGCCGAACCAGGGTGCACAGGTTTGAGTAAATCTGGGTCTATGCGCTTGCTTCAGCAGGCACGATATACAAAATTGGAACAGAAGATTAGCATGGGATCCTGGCAAATGGATGACACGGCCAAATTCGGTGAAGCGTTCATATAAAATATTTTTATTGAAAAAAAATTAAAAAAAATCAGTCTAAGGATTGGGGGCGCTAGGCTGGTTTTTGACCTAATGTAGAAGTTTCCTTTGGGGACTTTAGGAAGCAATTTGGAGGACAGCGGTGGAGGAGGAACGCGTAGATCAGAGGATAGGAAGCTGGGGCATTCCGACACTGCTGGACAAGACACACACACGACACACCACACACACACATTCACACACACCCAATCTCCCCAAACAACAAGAAAAAGGAGTGTTGTGGGGGGCCTGGTGCTGAACCGGCTGGAGAGAGGGAAGGGGCCAGCAGGGGAGGTGCGGTTGGTCTTCGGTCGAGTCACGTGTCGTCCTTCAGGCTGGCAGAGGAGGAGGGAGGATAGGAGGAGCTAGAGTTGCAGGAGGCTGCTTGGAGGTGGGGCGGGAGGGTGTGAATTTGAGGAGCTTGTCCAGCCAGAAACATTTTGCTTGTTGTACTCAGGACTGGGGTGAAATCACGGTTTAGGTGGATAAGCGATTGCGGAAGGGGATTTGGAATATAGAAAGCAGAGATTGGGACAGCAGGAGTAACCAAATAATTGTTGGGAAGGTCTAAGGAAAAGGTGAACAAAACCCCGAGGGAGATTCTCAACGGATTATGAAGTTTTAGTGACTCCAATCGAGCACAAGTTTTTGCGGGCGCGTGTTGCCGCAGTAAGGTTTGCTTAGGGAAGCCAGGAAAATGAGCATTGGAAGGGAGGTAGAGCATTGTGGGTGCTTTTGAGGCCGAGGAAATTAGAAGTGCAGCCAGCAGTTGTGGGTGTAGGTTTGGGGGAGAAGTGGTGTTGAGGGTTGTGTGGCCATTATGTATCTGGTAAGTACATGAGCCCAGGAGTGTGGAGTAAAAAAAAACAACCCTGTCTGCAGGCTATGTTATCAGCGCTGGGCAGATAGTGGGAGGAGAGGATCCAAGACTTAACACATTTAAAGGGCAGAGTGTCGTATTACTGATGCGTTTGTTCAGATGTATCCCTGCAAATTCTCCGCCTATTAACGGAGCATTCTGCCCCAGGAACCTAACAAAGGAGGGTAAGAGAGCTCTGAGGACTCGTCTTTTTCTTTCGTAATTCTATTATTGTATTGAGGACATTAGTCATTGCTTGTTGGCCTAAGGCATAGAAGTGGTAGTAGCCATGGCGGTCAGCATAGACTCACAGCACCTCGAAACTCCGGGCGTCAAGCGAATCTTCCTCGCTTTTCAGGCTCCCTGGAGTCTGGTACTCAGGCAGTGCCTGGCACCAGCGCTGGCTAATTTTTTCTAGTTATTATATTAGGTTGGCCAATGTAATTTCTTTGGTGAGTTTATCAGTAAACGGTGTTGTGGTCGTCGCTCTTGCTCAGGGGCTGGTTTCGATACTCCTGGACTCGGGGAGCACACCAGCGCGTGTCTCGGGCCTCCCCAGAATGGCTAGGATTATCAAGCGTTAGCCACTTCCTGGGGCCCGCGCGCGCTGGAGGACTCTTCTTTAGCGAGCTTTGGGCTCACCATTTTTTGGGTCAACCAGCTGCATTGTTCTGCCTGTCTTTCCGTTGTACTCCTGAGAAAGGAATAACTCTGCTACTTTGGGACGTTGTGGCTTTGGTTGCTTCCGAATATATTCGCGTGCCGGTATAATTTCTTATTCAGTTATAACGGATTGGTTATGATTTAATGGAGGAACGATTTTGGACCAAATTGTTTCTAATGCTGCTAGAGTTTTGAGTTGTGTGTCTTTCATGAACTCCATGGTATTACTCCTATGTTTTGGTTTATTATTAAATTATCTGAAGTGGGCCCAAATCGAGCCCATCTTCGTCTTACGCTTTCGTTCGCGTTTAAAGTGCAGAACTGTTCACTTTTTGCTTCTGGAAGCGAGGGAAAACCCTGCGTGATGACATTGAAGCATCTTGCGGAAGAGATTGATGGTGCTAGAGTGGAGGAGATGGACCATGATCCACGCTCCACAAGCTAAGCTGGAAGAACGACTTCCGAAGGGTCAAGAATTTTAAAGCACATGCCAGGCCCACTGAAATGGCAACAATGACATTGTTATGAGTATAACTTGCAGCCGGGAATCAGTTTACCAGAATCCATAAGGGTCAAAAGATTTCCCGTAGTTCCTCTCTCTCTCTCTCTCTCTCTCTATAAGTAGTTATACGGTATAATGCATTCTGTGTATCTGCCAAGCTGGTTTGCATATGCTGAGGGAAGGACTTACCTGATGCCAATGTCTCTGGAGAAACAGGAAGGAATAAGGAGGCGGGGTGGTTTATTCAGAAAGCAGGTATTGGACACCAAGTAGAAGTCATGCACTGTGTTGAGCACTCAGGATAAGGAGATGAGGAAGGTAGGTTTTTTTGCCCTTGAGGCATTTAAACTCCAGTGAAAACAACCTTAAAATCCTGGACAAATCAGGGTTTTCACATTCACTATCTTATTTATGTCACTACGGTAGTCGTGATGGTGAAATAGTGAAAGGTGGTATCTTAGCTCAGGCTGCTATAATAAATTACCATAGACTGAGTGGCTTAAACAAGTGCGCATTTATTTCTCACAGTTCTAGAATCTGGAAGTCCATGACCAAGGTGCCAGCAATACCTGTTTCTGGTGAGGGCCCACTTCCTGGTTCACAGACAGCTGTCTTCTCGTTGTATCCTCACATGGTGGAGTGCAGAGAGAGAAAGCAAGCTCTCATGTCCCTTCCTAGACGGGCACTGTTGTGGTCTAAATGTTTGTGTCCACCCCAAGATTCATATGTTAAATCCTAATGTCCAGTGTGATGGTATTGGGTGCCCTTATAAAAGAGGCTCAAGGAAGCCTATTCACCACCTCTGCCATGTGAGGACAAGGTGAGAAGATGCTGTCTTTGAACCAGGAAGTGGGCTCTCACCCAGTATAAAGTTCCAAGACATAACTACCATTTATGTGTTTTACTTTATATTTTAGTCTAATTTTATATACTTAGATTTTCCAGAATTTTTTTTTTTTTTTTTTTTAATGAGACAGAGTCTCACTCTGTTTCCTGGGGTAGAGTGCCGTGCCATTAGCCTAGCTCACAGCAACCTCAAACTCTTGGGCTCAAGCAATCCTCCTGCGTCAGCCTCTGGGGTAGCTGGGACTATAGGCACACACCACCATGCCTGGCTAGTTTTTTTCTGTTTTTAGTTGTTTGGCTAATTTCTTTCTATTTATAGTAGAGACGGGGTCTTGCTCTTGCTCAGGCTGGTCTCGAACTCCTGACCTTGAGCAATCTGCCTGTCTCGGCCTCCCATAGTGCTAAGATTACAGGCGTGAGCCACTGTGACTGGCCCTTTTTTCCCCAGAATATTACAGGAGTACAAACATTTTGGTTACATAGATTGCTTTTATATAGTTTGAGTCAAAGTTATAAGTGTGCCCATCCCCCAAATAATGTGCATTGTATCTGTTAGTTGTGAATTTACCCATCCCCTTTCACCCCTCCCATGTGCTTGATTTCTATTGAGTTTTACTTCCATATTATACTTAGATTTTTAAACATTTAATTGGTATTATATTGCTTGTTACTGTCTTATAATTTGCATTTTTACTTATATACCATGAGCATTAAATATTCTGAAACATTGTTTTAATAACTTCCTAATCTATTCTATGTATATATCATCATTTACTTAACTAATCCCCTTATTCTTAGGCATTAAGGTTGTTTTCAGTTTTTCTTGCTATTAATATTTTTTAAAAACTTAAACTAGTTCTCATAAAACAAACCTCATAGATAAGAGTAAATTCCCATTTGACCATATTCCAGATTGTAATTTTTTCCCTAGAGATAACCACCGATGTTAGTTGGTATGTATCTTTCCAGATCATTTTGTTATGCATTTATATATAAGTATATGTGTATATGTGGGTGAGTATATATATGTGGAAAACGCACAGTACTGTTTGTGTTTTAAATTTAATGGTGTCATGCTTTACATATCATTCTATTTTACTTTTCTGCTTAACCGTACTTGTAAGATCTTTCCATGTCAGTATATGCAGATGTACAGAATGTTTTTTTAGCTGTCACATAGCATGTAATAAAATGAATATATTATAGTTATTTAGCTATTTCCCTATTGATGGATATTTAGGATGTTTGTGACTTGTTGTTATTATAAATATGTATATCTTGGTTTTATTTCCCAGTTCTTCTGCAAACATTGTCCATCATGTTAGGAGGGATTGGGTTTACTCACTATTGGAAAATCAAGGTGGTCAGGAGATTCCAGGGTGTTAGTCAAATTGAGGTTGAGATAGCGTCTAAAGAGTGAAGCCAGGAGGATGGGTTTCAAACGGGGAGAACAGTGGGGAATCTAAGTGCTTGAGGTTCCAGTAAGGGTGCAGATCTGGTTCAGAGGGACTGGCAGATGTGAACTGAAAAAAATTGTGGTCAGAATTTGAGATGTCAGAGACAGTGCAATTCTCAGTGGGGATCAGGTTGTGCTAAAGCAGGGAGAAGGTAAAGGAAGGTAATTAGTTATTTAACTAATGTTTGTTAGTACCCATGATGTGCCAGACATTTGATATGCTTCTTGTATTAGCATATCGCCACCCTGTGAAGTAGGGCTATAATATTTTCAAATGAGGAGACTGAGACTCAAGAGAGTTTAAGGAACTTGATCAAGTTCATAGAACTTCAGCATGTTAATTAGTCTGAATTCAACTTCTGTGGTTATTTATTTATATATACCACGTGACTTTTCTGTGAAATCCTTACACCTTTCTGCATCTCTGGACTCTAGTGCCTTGTCTTATTAAGTGATCAAAAGATGTGTGGTGGTGGTGAAGGGACATGCTTATTGTTGGGGGACAGGGACTTTAAAACTCATAAGAATTGACGGTATTATCTTTTGTTGCAGGAATACTTGCTGGCGGGGGCAGATATCATTGAGACAAATACTTTTAGCAGCACCAGTATTGCCCAAGCTGATTATGGCCTTGAACACTTGGTAAGAATTCCATTTTTCCACTTATCTAAGATGTTCACGAGCATTTGCTGCATTGGTAGTTGCCAGTGAGAAAGCCCTGAGAACCTGCAAAGTCAAGCTGGTGACTAGTTTTCTGCTGTGGTGAGACAGGAAAATGGCTTGAATCTCCTCTGCTTATGAACACAGCAGCCTGTTCATTTTCCAACTGGCTTGTTTTATGGGCAAGTAGTAATCAAATGAAATGATACTTATTATGCAGTGGCTGTTGATAAAGGCACAATCATTGGCTGTATGCTCACAGTATTGTGAGGCCTTTTTAAGTATCAGGTGGCAGATTTGCTTTCTTTCCTTTTTAGATTGTAGTAAAATACATATAACATGAAATTTACTATCTTACCTATTTTTAAGTGTACAGGTTAGTGGCATTAAGTACTTTCACAGTATTATGCTACCATCATTAGTATTCATCTCTAGACCTTCTTTATCTTCCCAAACTGAAACTGTGTATCCATTAGAAAATAACTCCCCATTCCTCCCCACCCCACAGCCCATGGCATACTCTATTCTACCCTTTTATTGTTTTTTCAGACAGAGTCTTGTTTTGTTGCTCTTGGTAGAGTGCAGTGGCATCATCATAGCTCGCTGCAACCTCAAACTCCTGGGCTCATGCGATCTTCTTTCCTCACCCTCCTGTGTAGCTGGGACTATAGGTGCATGTCACGATGCCCGGCGAATTTTTCTATTTTTAGTAGAGATGGGGTCTCGCTCTTGCTCAGGCTGGTCTTGAACTTTTGAGCTCAAGCAATCCTTCCACCTTGGCCTCCCAGAGTGCTAAGATTACAGGCGTGGAGGCCACTGTTGCCCAGCCCCTTATCCCTACTTTCCCTATCTTCTATGAATTTGACTTATTCCTAGGTACTAGCCATGTAAGTTTTTGGAATCCATAAAGGTATTGGGGGCTTTTGTGATTAAGCCCTTTATTCACTTAGGCTTAATCCCTCAAGAATTAAATCCAGCCTGGTATGGTGGTCCAGAATTTTTCCTTCCCCTTTAAGGGTTGAATAATATTCCCCCGTGTATGTAATATAACCACGTTTGGTGGCCCTTATTGTTTTTATACTGTTGATAAAAATTAGGGAATTGCTTTCTCTTTTTTGCTGCCTGTGAAATACCAGTATTTGCCCTAACTATGGAAAACATGTAATTGAAATAGTGGTTTTTTGAGTCCCTTGCATTCATTTTTGTATATAAGGCAGAAGTAGAATTGCCCTTGGCTCGTTCCCCGGTTAAATCCTGTGTTTTAAATTTTTGGGAGGAAGCTGCCATATTGTTTCACCCTTCACAGTGGGGGCTGTGGCCCCCATTTTAAAACCATCCCACCAGTTGGTGAAACCAAGGTTTCCCAGTTATTTTTCCACATCCTTGCCAACCCCTAATTTTTTTGTTTTTCCTATTTGGATGGTAGCCCATCCTAAATTAGGTTGGTTTGGGTGGCCCTTGGATTTGGTTTCCTTTTAACCAACATGGAAATACTTCCACATTTTACCATTGTAAATGTATTAATGATGGAAATACTTGGTTAAAATGCCCCCCGGGAAAAAATGTCTCCATTTTTTCTGTTGGTGGGGATATTTCCAGACACACATTGCTTCTGTTTTTCACGTAAAGTAGCCCCAAGTGCCTCCAACAGGGGGAATTTTTTCCCCATGGTAACTCGGGGGGCATTGGTGCAAGATTTAGTGCCATTTGGGGTTTATCAGGGAAAAATGAAGGTGTTCCAAGTTATTTACCTTTTTGGTATTATTTTAGAAGCCAGGAGGTTTTGGCCAAACATTTTTTTTACCTAAAGGGGCCAGATAGAAAATATTTTAAGGAAAGGCTTTGTTGGCCCCACATCATTTCTCTTGGAAAACTACTCCAGTTTTCTGTCATTGGTAACTGGCAAACCAGTTTCCACGACAATATGTAAAAATAAATGGGCTTTCCTATATTCAATAAACTTTTTAAAATTTTACAAACAAAGCGAGGAACCTAGATTCCACCCTATAAGCCCCATGGGTTTTGCCAACCCCCCTAATCCCTAGGGATATTCCTTGGGTTTTTAAATTGCCTGGACGGTAAGGGATCCAAGACACATGGGGAAATTCTCCAAAGGAATTGGGAATGGGGATTGGGACCAATCTCAAGTCTGGAACCCCCCTCCCCAGAAAATCTGGCCATGAAACTCCTTATACCATAGGGGTTAACACCTGGGTGGCCATGTAACTTTTTTTGGTTTTTGGTGAAAGAGAGTTCAATTGTTACTTTAAATCAAATTCTTTCCAAGAAGGGTTAATATCCTACAAAAAAAATTTGGAAACTACTGATTTCAATGAAATTTGTAACAGGGGGAAGGAAGTCAAGGCCTAGGAAAGTTTGGCCCTATGGATTTTCCCCGTCCAGGCGTGAACAGAGGCTTTTATCACCCCTTGAAATCCAAGTCCTCCTGCCTGAGCCTTTGGCCTTTTTTCTCCTTTTTTTGAAAACAGAGTCACTCTGTTTTTGCCCCCTGGGCTACAGTTCGTGGGCAAAATCCAGCTAGCCCTTTCACAGCCACCTTAGAACCTTCTTTGGCTCCAAGGGATCCTTTCCTGGCCCTCCAGCCCTCAACCGAGTAAGCCTGGGACTACCCAGGCACGCCGCCTAATCAATGCCCCCTGGGCCCAATTTTTTATATTTTTTAGTTGTTTGGCTAATTTTCTTTCTATTTATAAGTAAGGAGATGGGGGGGTCTTCGCTTCTTTGCCTTCAGGGGCTTTTTGGTTCTCGGAAACCTCCTGTGGCTCAAGCCTTCCTCCTGCCTCGGGCCCTCCAAGAAAGTGGCCTAGATTTAACAAAGGGGTGGAGCACCGGCGACCCCAGGCTTTGCCCCTTTTTTCTATTACTATTTTTAATTTAATTCTCAAAGAAAATATAAAACTACATCCAGCCTTTAAATCTCTGACCAATCAAATGTCTAGAGATTGATTGCTCTTTTACCAGTCAAGCCTCAATGATTTTTGGAGGAGACCAACAAGCAGTTTCCAGGATTTCATGCCTTTTTCTTCTTAATTTCCCCCCTTTCCCAAGGATTGAGCAAAATATGCCCTTCCTTGGCCTTAAAGAATTTTAACTCAGAACCAGATTAATTCTTTCCCTGTAAATCCCTTTACTTGAAATAAAAACTGGGGTATGGGCCAACGATTAATGAAATTCAATTACTTACCTGGTATGAAAGGAAACCGAAAGACAAAGGCCCCTAACAAATTGTGTTTTGAAAATGTATTAAGGCCTACGGGAATTGGAAACCAAGTGGCTCCCGCCAGGGGTTTGGCCAGAAAAAAGCCTGCCCCAAGGGAGATAACTCCTTCCAGACCAGGTTAAGGAAACATTCCTTCCTTTTTGGTGCCACCATGAAATTCCCTTGGGATGTCCTCAGGCCTATACTGTTGGGCTGTCTCAATGTGGCCATTTCTTTGGCGTGGGACCTTTTTTGGTTTTAACCGAGCCAACACTGCAGAACCCTGGGGTGTTTTTGGAACAAATGTTTGGGTAGGTTAACCTTTTCTGCAAGTTCATAATCCGAGCCAATTCCCCATCTTCTCGAATCTATTGCGAATCCGCCTGGTGGGGCACCCCTTTGGTTTGGCCCTCAGGTTTTTTTTACCTTTGGGTTTTTACCACCCTGGCTTGGTGGGGGTTACCAGCCCTGAACTTTGTAAGCTAGGCCATGACTTCCTTGGGTATTGGAGAGCTAAAATGATTTTTTCCCTTTTGAAGACGTCATCAAGTTATTAAGTAACAGCTTATCTTGTTTTTGAAATTATTTTGGACTATCATTAGGATATTTTCCATGTCAATCCCTCCTTAAACCCCCACCCCGATTGGCTTCTCTAGGTAGAAAGACTATCTTTTGAACATTTTCCCCTTTATACTACTGATGTCCTTGAAGGCTCTGAGTAGCTCACAGAAGAGTGTGGCATTAGATTTAGTCTTGCTGGAACTTGAAAAGTGACTCCTGAAATAACTAGCCTCCTGGCTGGCTGCCATCAGAACACTTGGGCACCAGCTGGTGGGAGGGAAAGGAATAGAAGAAATACATGGAGCCCCTGAAGATTTGGAAATGTGAAGTTATTGCCAAGAGTAAAGCAAAATTGTTATGGAGTTACACACAGCATACTAATGAAGACCAGAGCAATTTACAGGAACTCTGTTTCTCAGGATAATGTGTAAATCCATGGAAATGCATAGACTGTTTCCCCACCAGAGTCATAGGTCAGAGGCTATTGAACCAGCTAAAGCAAGGAGAGATAAGGACATTTTTCTTATACTCACATTACTGCTCAGCTTTGGGGAAGATAAAGAATATTTGGGCCTGTAAACCTGTTCAAACTGGATTATCAACTAGTTGTTAGTCTTCAGTTAAATTATAAAGCATGGCCCAGATTAGTGAGTAGCTAAAATCGCCCCAGGTAATGAGCTGTATGCTCGTGGCTTCTGTTGTTATATGTAAATGAACAAAACTTCCCAGGCCATTTTAGAAACACCTAGACTCCAGCCTAAAAGAAAGGTTATTAAAGAGTTATTCAAGTAAGATTTAATGTGCTTCATACTTCAACTTCAGACTTTATAATTGTTGATCCTGATTTGATATTTCCCCCAGTGAAGGGCTTGCAATGTGGTGCTAGAGAGGATTTCAAGTTGAATGCTACCGTGAGGCAAGTTTGCAGAACCTGTCATAAGTTTAGGACCTTTGAGGTTTCTTAAGAAAAGGAGAGGCAGGGCGTGGTGGCTCATGCCTGTAATCCTAGCACTCTGGGAGGCCGAGGCAGGCGCATTGTTTGAATTTAGGAGTTTGAGACCAGCCTGAGCAAGTGCAGGACCCTGTCTCTACTGAAAATAGAAAGAAATTAGCTGAACAACTAAAAATAGAAAGGAAAAAAAATATTATCCAGACATGGTGGCACATGTTTGTAGTCCCAGCTACCCAGGAGGCTGAGGCAGGAGGATCGCTTGAGCCCAGGAGTTTGAGGTTGCTGTGAGGTAGGCTGATACCACGGCACTCTATCCGGGGCAACAAGTGAGACTCTGTTTCAAAAAAAAAAAAAAAGGAGGGCAGATAATTTGTCCAAACATAGTTATGATGTTAGAAAAGGATTGCTTTCTGAAATGCTTTGAGGTCAGATGTGTGAGAATTCAGAGTTTTTTGAATTGGCTTAGCGATAATTTGTGTATATCTTCCATATGACATAATTTCCTCAATGAGATCTGGGGCAACCCCAATGATCAAATATATATTAGCAAAGTCTTAATCATCTTACTAAAATGGGATAAAGATTATAAATGGCCTCTTGTTTAATAGAGGTCAGTTTTGTGGTAAATTAAGAAAAAAAAATGGGCTTTTAGAACTTTTTGGATTTTAGAGTTGTGGACAAAGGATTGTAGACCTGTGTTCTAGGAAAAACCTTACAGCCTGTTGATTCACAACAAAAAGATTGAGTCATTTAAATTTTACACTTGTTTTTCTTTTCCCAAAGGAATTAAGAGGTTTGTGGCAGGAGCTCTGGGCCCAACTAATAAGACACTCTCTGTGTCCCCATCTGTGGAAAGACCAGATTACAGGAACATCAGTGAGTATTTATCATACATGATCATTGTTCTTGGGCAAGTACATCTGTGCTTCAGGAATCTGTAAATCTGTAAAATGGGCTCAATGACATGGTCTACCTCAGAGTTATTGTGACTTAATCCACTTAAAGGGCTTACAACAGTGCTTGGAGTATAGTAGACATCTAAATAAAAAGTGAGATGCTATTATTATTATTTGAACTTGCTTTCAGATGTATATGATGTTGTGTTAGTGCTTATGTGTCAACTGTGGAAATAAAATAATAGAAATAAAGCTTTAAACTGAGAAGCTGAGCAAATTTGGATACTAGGCCTTAGTCTATTATAAAATAACCCACTATATCCCCATATAATTTATTGCTAAGCATCCAAACTATCTAAACATACTAGCATTATGAACAAGTGTGTATAGACAGGCTTGTATGGAGAGTTGACCAAAAAAAAGTCCAGGAATCAAGGTCAGTTTGTAAGCATTAAGACTATAACAAAAACAAAAAGAATTAAGATGTCACAGCTGAATAGTAATGATACCATGTCTGGTAATGGATTTTGTGTGACAAGATCAGGCCAGTACAGTTTGTAGGTTTTGGTTATAGCACTTTGCATGTCACCAGCAGTTGCTCATACCAGACTTATGTGTGGCCGACGCTCTCTCTGGTCTGGACATGGCGGTGGGGAGCCAACCTCTCCGTGCTCTTGTGCTGGCCGCATAAGGTGAAGCACAGCAAATCCTTGTTTAACATCCTCAGCAGGTTTTTGGAAACTGCAACTTTAAGCAAAATCTCATCCAGCAACCTTGTATAACATGGTTTCCTTCACTGCTGTTTCATTATGACAATGAGGAAAAATACTGGTTTTGTTATACGTTACCTCCTTGAAGTCACAGCTTCTGAGAACCTGTTGATGATGTTAAGTGAGGACTTACTGTATATTTATACAGCAAGTATAAATTTAATGTCTAGGCATTAAATCTAATGTTTAGGCATGTTAGGCATCTCTACTGAATAGCTGAGCATTTTTTCTTTTATGCTTGGGAGATAAAATAGGAGGAGGGATGACCTCTCAGGTGGAAATAAAGAACTCAAGACATTTTTAACAAAAATTTTACCTTGGAGTGATTGAACACATTTGTTTGAGACTGAAATTGCCCAGCATATGGGTTTTCTTTCTGAAAGAATTGGTGTAAGAGCAGGAACAAAATCCATGGACCTGTATAGCCTTTTAGCAGAAAGAGAGTGAGATTTCAACTCAACCTGTGATACGTCCAAATCTGTGTGACATGTTTCTCACACTCATCTCTTATTTGGTTGATTAAAGTGATCTATGGAATGAATTTTAAAGTAAAGTAAAAAAAAGTAAAATAAAAAAAATTTTAATGTTGAAGTAAGGCACATGGCTCAAGAAATTCATGCACCTGCCCACCCACTTTCAGCTCATACATGGGAAGTTGGGGAGGTTAAATGCCAAGTGTTTAGGAACAACCGTGTGCAGTTTACTTGTCTACCTTCTGTTGCTGCCAACTGTTTCTTACAAAAGGGCAGTGTTTTCTTTAAAACTGTGCGTTGTAAACCCCCACTAGTTCGCAGGTTCAAGACCTGCACTCAGCATACCCTGGGGCCATTCTATAAAATTGATAACTGATGTGCTGGGTGTGATTTATCTTTTGCAGCGTTTGATGAACTTGTTGAAGCATATGAAGAGCAAGCCAAAGGACTTCTGGACGGTGGGGTTGATATCTTACTGATTGAAACGATTTTTGATACTGCCAATGCCAAGGTGAGTTAAGGGAGAAAAAAGGACAGCACTGGGGTGAGAGCTGTGATGAATCCTCTCATGTATTAATAGTAAGACAATACTAGTAACCATTATCAAAGTTAAATAAATTTCCTGTATTTGCTCTATTTTGTTTAGAATATTATCAGGCCAGTACAGTAAGAAAAACTTCAAAACACTATCCTTTTAGCTTTTAAAAACCAATTTTTCTAATTACCAAAATAAATATTTTCATATATAGCTACCATAAGTGCATTTATGTGTAGGTAATAAATACATGCTCTTGGTTCTAAATTCAAAAGATACTTTGGCTGGGTGCTATGGCTCATGCTTATATTCCTAGCACTTTGGAAGGTCAAGGCAGGAGGATTACTTGAGGTCAGGAGTTCGAGACCAGCCTGAACAAGAGCAAGACCCTGTCTCTACAAAAATAGAAAAATTATCTGGACATGGTGGCACTTACCTGTAGTCTCAGCTTACTCAGGAGGCTGAGGCAGAAGGATTGCTTGAGCTCAGGTTTGAAGTTACAGTGAGCTATGATGACTGCAAGCTACCCCAGGGAATAGAATGAGACGCTGTCTCAAAAACAAACAAACAAACAAACAAAATATATGGAATGAAAAGTAAATATTCTTCCCTCTCCTAGTTCCTTGGTATGTCTAGCTTGTTTCCCACAGACAACTGCTACTGCCAGTTTGGGAGTCCTGACAGATTGTCAACAGATATGAGCATATATGTTTGTGTGTGTTTGTGTTCCTTGCATATATACAAAGGTAGATAAGTATATGGGTGAAAGCAAATATCTTTAAACTGGGACTTTGCACAGTGTACGTGTAGAATGCGTTTCTACAAGTGAAATTGCAGAGTCAAAGGGTATGTGATTTGTTAATTTTTATCTTTAGTACCCTTCTTTGAGATTGTTCTCATTTATACGCCCCTCAGCAAGCAGTGTACAGTAGTGCTGATTTTATTACACTCTGTGCCCTTGATTTTTGGTCTTTTTTATTGAGTCTTTTACTAAGGAAATCATGCCCTTGTCAGTAATGAGCAGCAAATACTGCCTTCCAGTTTGTTGTTTGACTTTTGACTATATTTATGGGAGAATTTTAATTTTGCATGGTTGAATTTATAGATTCTGTTTTACTAGGGGTGAGGGGGTACTTACAGGGGTACTCCTCAGTGCAAGATAAGGAGGAAAAAAAGGTCCTTCTCCCACTAGTACTTTACAGTTTTATCAAATCTTTAGTTATTCAATTGTTGTGAATATAAGGCTACACATTCCAAATTTTGAACTTTTTTTTATCATTTGCTAAAATACTCGCATGCAGGGAGCCACTATCAGCCCAAAGCTAGATGACTACCCTACTTCATACTTAGTACATCACTTTTATTGGGTTCTCTTTTATACATCTCTTTAGAAATTGTTTTGTGAATCTCTGGTAAATAAATTGTAATTTTTTTTTTTTTTTTTTTTTTGAGACAAACTCTCACTCTGTTGCCCAGGTTAGAATAGTGCAGTGCTGTCATCACAGCTCACTGCAACCTCAAGCTCCTGGGCTCAAGCGATCCTGCTGCCTCAGCCTTCCAAGTAGCTGGGACTACAGGCGCGTGCCATGATGCCCAGCTTTATTATCTATTTTTAGTAGAGATGGAGTCTCATACTATTGCTCAGGCTGGTCTCGAACTCCTGAACTCATGTGATCCTCCTGTCTCAGCCTCCCTGAGTGCTAGGATTACAGCATGAGCCACCACCACCAGCCATAAATTTAATTTAAAGCAATACAGGTATACATTTTGACAATAAGAACAGTAACAAACAAGATAAAGAATATATCTGAAATGAGATTCATACATATATTTGAAAAGAGTCATAGTATTGTTTAGATTAGCAATGGGGAGGGTCTAACAATGGGATAAACCATTAAGGATATATTTAGAGTTTTTAAGTTTTAGGAATGTGAAAGCATACATTCTTCTGA